GTTCTTTGCCCAGCAGTTAAGTTTGGGAGGCCTGAATGGACAAAGGGAATAGATGCAGCTGCCATGGGACCCTGGACATTAAACTGACAATCTAAAGAGCGGATGATCCCTCAGGCTAATTCAGATCATCATTCGGGGACACACTCTAGACTAGTCACCCTAACCAGCATGGAGTACAGAGCCTTGGGACCCTCACTCTGTCCAGCAGACCCCCTCCTGTCCATCCCACTGCTGCTCTTAGCAGTGTATTTCAATAAATACACCTGTTCTGTTCTCCACTTGGTCTCTGATGAATTCTTTCAACCCCCACACCTCTGGTCTCTATACCTGTGGTGGCGCATTTATCCACGAGGAGATGGGTAACTTTGGGTGTTTCATGGGGAAACTAGTTTAACTATATACATTCTCATTTTCTTTTTATTGCACACTAACTGCATGAAAGCTGAAGGTTTAATGCTCTAGAGAATGTTTTGTCTTGATGTGGTGTATGAGAGCAGGCAGGTTTGGAGGTCCCCAACCTGCCCTCTAACATTTTTCTCTGCCCAGACTTTAAGATCAGTCTTTTCTTCTTTTAGTGAAATAGGGAACAAATTATCGCTAAATATCTTTTTTAATAATTCTATTATTTGTATAGGTCCAGCATTTATACTTTTGGTAAATGATTTATTATGGCTCCATTCAGCAATGGAATTAATCTTTATATTTTAGTAGTAATTGTCTCTGTTATAAAACAGCTCAGTGGAGTGAATTTCAAGATCAAATTGTCTTAGCATCCCATTTAGAGAGTAGAAAGGCTCTATGAGGAGTTGCACAAAATGGAAGCTTGTATAGTCATATCAGAATGAGCATGAGACAAGTTATTAGAAAAAAAGAAAGATTATTTCAGGCAAAGCCCCCTTCCCTCAGGAGTAGGGAGAAGAGTCTTATCACATAATCACTCCAGAAGTACTGATCAGGAAATACCAGTTTGAGTGAGTGAAAATTTCATTTGGGGGAGGCGTAGAAACGGAGTTAGGTTAGGTGTTAAGTCTTGGTGTAGGCTGGCATTAATTACTCCATTTTAGGTCTATATTTCTCTATACCTCCTATGTATAGTTATTAATCATAAGACAAGAAATAGCTTCTGTCAACCACTGTATCAACACAAATACACTCTAGTGCATAAGATCTTTAATACAATTAGTAAACAAAAAGAAAAGACAAACACCTGAAGTTATTCATCCCCTTGTAGGCAAATGTCCAAACAAGGTTGGCCCAAAGCAGGGCCACTTAGGCCTGGAAATCCTGCCACAAGTCTAAGGCACCTCCTGGTCGGGACCCATAGGAAAGGGGCAAAAGGGCTCCAGCATGTCTGGGACTGAAGGAACAAAATGAAAATCAAGATAAAGCTGCAATTGATACACTCCCCACGGGTCTCTCATCCACATCTGGTTCAATCCATCCAAGAACCAAGAAGCAAATGCAGCTTCTTCACATGTCTCTCCTTGTACCTTCTGGCTCTCATCTTCCTTCTCTCCCTCCTTCAGGGTCCTTTCCAGCTTCTCCTTCTCCAGCTGAGCTGCACCCTCTTTCAGTGGGGTGGGAAAATGGAACCCCCCCCTTTCCCTGGGGACAATCCTCATAGAAAAGTTCTAAAGTTTCTGTATTAAAAATAATTTCAAAAATAAAAAATAATAATTACCTTAAACACAACTACAAGTTAAAAACCATCTGGGGAAAAAAAAAAACCTTCAATATATAACACAGAAAAAGACTAACAGCTTTAATATATAAATACTTTTAAATTAATAAGATAAAATAACAATATAAAAGGAGAAAATATATACTGATTTGAAAAGAAATGCTGCTTGGACAGTTTTCTATCTTCAGGTAAAATGGAAAAGTACTGACCCTTGCCCCCTCCAGGTGCTAACTGCAGATGTGGTAACTACTAGGAACATGGAGCCCCACAGTGTATCTGATATTTCTGAGTAAAATGAAAATTTAAAAGTCAAGCAAAGGTTCATTGTACCATAAGACAGGACAAATGACCCTGAAAGGAACAAAAGGGGTTTCAATGTATGTTACCAATTATGGGAGGAATTTAGGCTATGACCAGGAAGATTATAAGTCCCTACATACTCAGCCAATGAGGAAAGGGGGAAGGACTCGCACATTAGGGTATATAAACTGAGTAAAAATGTACTTTGGTGTGCTGGCCTATGGACCCACCTGCAGAACGCTCAATCAACTTTCATTTCTGGTGTACTCAAAGTTTCTGGGTTCAGACAGGGGAAGTTACTTCACACAATGTGAGTCACAAGAGAACAAATAAAAATGACAAAAAACACACCTCCGCTTCATGACCAAACAAAAAATACCAATTATAGCACTTAAAATTATGAGAAAGTTTTTGACCTATAACATTGGCAAAGATTCCATTTAATGACATTTTACCTTTTTACGGTACTCGTTTTTTATGGAATTATAAATCAGAACAGCTTTACTTCAGGCAATCTGACTATATAAACTAAAACTTACTGAAAGCTTAGTAGGTTTGGTTTTTACCATCTATGATCAGGAAAGGGTCTTCCAGTCGTATGTAACATCTACTCCCATAAATATGAAAATCTATTCAGCAAATGGTGTTGGAAAAATCAGACAGCCACATGCAAAAAAAAGATGCTGGATCACTCGCTAACTTACACAAAAATAAATTCAAAATGTACTAAAGACTTAGACATAATACTCAAAAGTATAAAACACATAGAAAAAAACAAGTAATACAATCCATGATAACGACATTAAAGGTGTCTTTGAGAATTTGACCCCATCAGCAAGAAAAACAAGTGAAAATAAACAAATGGGACTATACCAAATGAAAATGCTTCTATACAGTAAAATAAATGATCGGCAGTAAAAGACCCTACTGAAGTGGAGAAAATATTTGCACATCACATGTTCAAGTGAACTTGGACAACAGGACTATTCATACAACAAAAAAATAAACAATCCCGATTTTAAAAAATGGTTGGAAGATCTGAATAAACACTTCTTCAAAGAAGACATACAGATGGCTAATGTAAATGAAAAACGCTTATCTCTTATTTTAGGGATATGCAAATTGAAACACTAAGATCTCGTTCACAACTGTTAAAATTACTTACATCAAAAGGACTATAACAAGTGTTTGCACAGGTGTGCAATAAAAAGGAACTCTCATACACTGTTGGTAAGAATATTAATTGGTGTAACTATTTTGGAAAACAACAGAGAGCTTTCTCAAGTAACTAAAAATAGTGCTATCATATGATCCAGCAATCTCACTTCTGGGTATCTATGTGATGAATAAAAATTTATTAACTCTCAAAGAGTAAATGCCCCTCCATGCATACTGCAGCATTTTGTACAATAGCCAAGATAGGGAAACAATCTAAGTGTGCATTAAGAGATGATAGGTTAAAGGTAAGGTACAAACACACAATGGAAGCCAATTTAGAAATAAAAAGACATGAAATTTTACCATATGCAGCAAAATGATAGAAACTCAAGATTTTGAAATAAATCAGGTAACTATATGCAGAATATAAGGAAACAAAGCAACTCAAGTGACAAAACAAAATAAACCAGTGAATTTGGACAACAGAACTGAGGCTACCAGAGGGGAAAAGGTGGAAGTTGGGAGGAGGAGGGGTGAATAGTATTGGGTTGTGCTTCTTTATTTTTATTTTTCATTAAAATTTTTATTCTTAAATGAGTAAGAAAGAAAAAAAGCATAAAGAAATGCAGACTTACACTGTGTTCTGGTTCTATAAGGAGACTGAGTATTCACATTGAACAATGAAATTCAGATTCAAAATGTTTATGCAGAAGTCACAAAGGTACCAGTGATTCAGTTGTTGCTATTCATTTTTATTCACTAGATGTAGATACCAACAAGAAAAAAAGGAGTGTAATTTTAGAGAATTAAGTATCACTTTGTTGTTAATGTGCTACATACAGTCAGACATGTCTGCCACACACACACACACACACACACAATCCCCGAAACGTACAATACGAATTCAAATCTGCAATCTGACTTTCAAATCATAAGGAACCCTTACATAAACCACGGGTCAAAACTGCCAATCCCTGGCCTTTCCACTCCTCTTACCACTTGTATCAACCTATCCAATGTAGTCTTATTACGCCAATTACACTGTCAGACAATGTTCAAAATCTAGGTATTCTTTCAATCAACCCAGTCCTTAAAGTCATAAAAGCAAAACTCAGCGAATCCAACTTTCTCGCGTTCCCCCACCCCCACGGATGGCACGTCGCTGGCGAGTTCTAGACGTCACAATCCCTGGCGGCTTCTGTTCTAGAACGCCCCATGCTGTTCTCTTGCCCTTTACAAACAGTTAACGTGATAGATCGACCACGATGTTATGATAAGTGTCACTCACTAATGTTTTTACACTATCAGCAGTGTTTCATAGCTCTGCACCTACGCCCGGGGCCTCAGAAGCAACTGGCCGGCAAAAGTTCGCGGCTCCGGGCACATCAGCGCGGTCAGGTGAAGTCATCATCAATGCAAGCGTCGGAGCGACCCCCAGCGCGCAGCACGGGAGGAGCGCCCGCCTGGCTGCGTCCACCCCAGCAGAGGGCGCCCGAGCCTCCCCTGCCGATCGCCTCAGGGAAGCGCGCCGCGG